TTTTGCGTGCAAATCCTGTAGTACATGTATGTCAAAGGTCGGAACTCATGATTCACACGCACATGGCTTCAAAATTACGGACCATTCTGAACGGTGGACAATCCCAAAATGGATCCCTGCTGATTCACACATTGCAAGAGAAAGGATTGTCAAATTGTTGAGCCTTTTCGCGGACTCCCTTATAAGGCTTCAAGAAGCATTTGCGCAGGGTGCGGAGAGATTTTGGTTTCCTTTTTTGCTTGGTGATTCTTATAGTGTTATAGGTGCCGCGTTTCTCATATGCAAAAACCAGAATCCCTGTCACCCAAAATTTGTCCAAGGTTTCCGCCCTTCCAAATGCTCGTACCAGCTGAACCACTCAATGAGTAGTGTCGGATCTCAAAGTTCTGGCCTAACGTCCTGGCAATTGTGTCAATGTTGGAGGTGCAGGTGGTCGACTCACAGCTGATTTGCCTTTCGTTCTGCAACCTCCGATGACACCAACAACAATATCCGGAGCCCAGATCGATGAATCCTTGACTGTTTGGGGGGGTCGTTTCAGGCTGGGATGCGATGGGATGTGAACTCGAGTTCCACGTTCGTTGGGTTTGGGGGTCGATGATTGCCTTCCACAACAAGGCGGCAGCTGGTGCCACCATGTGCCACATTCTCAAATTGGCAGGAACCGTACCTGGAAAGTGGGAGTCTTTCAGATCACCTAGTCGGGTACTTGGAGTCGATTTATGGCACGGTGTACGTGTTGATCCCCCTCTTTTTGAGGGAAATCAAAGGGCCCCGTTGCCGTTCCACCGACCACGGAAGCGGATAGGGGGAACAACAATCCTCTCAAAAAGCCTCCAGTCCACCTCATGTCTTGCTTTGAGGTTGGGCCTTTGCTGCCCACGTGGCAAACGCTGATCTCTAAGAGTCTACATGAGAAAGGAACAATATCACCGATAGTCTTTGTTTGAATTGGGGAGGACATGGAGTGACCAATGTCCTCGAATGTCCCCTATATTTAACCACAAGGCCTTTTACTCCCCACATAAACCGGCAGTCTTTTGTTTTGTCGCGTACCACCTGGTCGCTGCTCGGATGCAACTTGAATCATCACTGCAGGCCTTGCAGTCGCTGTGCTTCTCCGCGGTCTACATTGTGGCGGCAAAGCGGCAAACTGTATGCTGGCTGCCCCCTTCCCCACAAAAGGGCGAAAGAGATTGATTTGTTGTGTTCTGAAAAACCAAATGGGGACGCGTGTTTACTTTTTCCAGCCCCTATTTAACACTTGTGCTTGTGTTTGTTTGTTTGTTTGTTTGTTTGTTTGTTTGTTTTGTTTGTTTGTTTGTTTGTTTGTTTGTTTGCTTGCTTGTTTGTTTGTTTGTGTGTTCGTGTTTGTGTGTGTGTGTGTGCGAGTTGGTGGGCCGGGCAGTCAGAGGGAGGTTTGTTGTCAACATATCCCGTCGATTTTTGTTCGGGAGGGACATGCGCCAAATCCAGGGGACGAACTGTAATTTTCTTGCCTGTTGCGGCCAGCCTCAGTTTTTGACCGTGGCTCATAGATGTTCCCTTTCAGAAGCAGGGCCCAATCCTGACAACGCAAATTTGCGTTGTTCTTATTTTAATTAGCGAGATCTCTGGCTAAGTCTCTGCAGCTAGTCGCTTGAATCAATCTTCTTGGCCAAAGACTGCATCACGCCTTCTTCCGTTGCTTCCAGTTGCCTGAGATGATAGCGTATATTTGTGCAGCGGGGTTCACCGCAAATGTTAGGCTCTTAAATCTCTTGACCATCCACTTCTTAGCTCAACTTTGGTGCATGTTGCTTGGATGTTAAGACTTTAACTCTTTGCCAACTACTGGGTGTTGTGTATGAAACCACTAAAAGTCAGTCAAACTTTTAGCAGGGCAGCAGAAAGCAAGCGAGTCAACTTCCACCGCACATGGGTCGGGGGGGGATCCACAGACCTGAGGTGCTGCTGCACAACGGCCTGGGCTTCGACAAGTGGCCCGGTCTGAATATCCCAAATTGGTGGAATACCCCGAATTTCAGGGAGGTCGTTTTGCGATTCCTTTTTGAGGGTCGCCAATTTTCTCACAAAAGGTGGCAAAAAGACCCCCCCCTGCCCCGAATTGGTGGAATACCTCCAAATTGGTTGAATACCTCTAAATTGGTTGAAAGGGGGGAAGATGGGCCGCCCAGCTGGGGTGAGTTCAACTGTCATCCTTGCTGCAAGAGGACTGGGGTAGACTTAGGGTACATTTTACATTTTGCCAGTGACTCAAAGGGAAGCAAACAATAGAATATACATTCTATAACTGGGACTAAGTCTAATCATGAGGAGACGGGGCACACTCATGAAGCCAAAATACCATTCTGGCATGGAGTTCCTGACCACATTCCCATGTCAGTTGCGGACACTCTGCTTTTGATATTGACCGTGTCTTGTCTTGAGGGCACCCTTGTTGGGGTGGGTTTAAAGGGACGCGAAGGGAAAGCCACCACTTGTTTTACCACCTTCCTTTTTTTGGGGGGGCTCCTATTCTAAGAAACAGCCTTGTGTCCAAATATGGGAACCCGTCGACCTTGCCAAGTTGGTGCCCTTTGGTTTACGATCATGGAAGACAGGAGGGTTCACAGGGAAAGTACCGCAGTCTTGCCACACCTTCCAGTCAGCTTCCATACCGCAAACTAGCGGGGACCCGCCAAGGTAAGTTCCTTTTGTTTCCCCAAGAACCAAGGTGCCCTTAGCAACAAGGCAGCCCCAAATGGGGAGCCCCCCCCAACTGGCAAGCTTCATTTGGTCGACGCTTGAACCTTTGGTTGTGCCGGCCTAGCAGTGGCCTGCCCTATGCCTTGGCTGACGTCTATCGCCCTTGTCATTTGAAGCGGCCTAGAGAGCCGAGGTTTGGAAGATTCCAGGAATCAACCAACTGTTTGGCGGACGGCAGTAGCAACTTGATGATGGACATCTTCTGGAAGAAGATCGCAATCATATGTGTGTTTCTTCTATTGACCGTCTTTTTGGACATCAGAGGAAGACCCACTTCCAATTGTGGAAACAGCTCATTTCTGTTGGCGAATTACTGCAAATCCTTTCTTGTTGGGCACCATCTTGAACAAGCAAGTGGCCTCCCAACAGCCAAAAGGGTATGATGTGGGCATGTCCATGCCCTTTCTTAAAAATCACCGCCTTGCGGTTCGCAAGCTGCGCGCCAATTTTTCCGTTCCACCGATGAAAACTTCAGACGCCTTTTCGCGGTTGCATTCCCTGAAGCAAGTTTGGGCCCTTCTCAAACGGACGAGTACCCTTGTTGTGCCTGGTGTGGACCGCTGTCCGACAAGATGTGGGCTGACATGTCCCGTCATGTGCCTTCGAGTGCTATGCAACCCAGTCGCTGCCGGACGGCTTTGTGTTGCGTGATGTTGCGTGTTTTGGTGTCCCTGCTTAGAGATGTTGGGTTTCTCCAGCCCCTTTCCACCAAGCTCCAGTCTTGTGGCGAATCTATGCCGGACTGAAGGCACGCCAACTGTCCTGCTGACACAGCAACGGGCTTCATCCCAGAGTTTGTCTCTGATTTGAAGCACACTTTCCTGAAAATGACTTCAGCACTTCTTCCAAAAGAGATGCTTTGAATTGCCCACTCGGCTGCAGCCTTTCTGATCCCTGCAAAGGAAGAGCCAGCAGATCGTGTTCGTGCCACAAGGCAGGTTGAGAGTTGTGAGCAACGGCGGACGCACAGAAGCTCTTCCCTTCAACATGACCTCCGGTTCCTTTCTTGAGGATCCCTTGGCGAAATTCAAACCCCCGGAGTTTGCAATGCAGGGGCCGGTGATGCGGCTTTCCGGTGATGCGGCTTTTCAGCGCTGAATTTGAACTTAGGTCGCAAGGTTTTCCCCCGGCCGGCGCCCCGCCCCAATTCCAATGGCAATCAGGGCGAACTAGTAGCACTCCATGAAAAACAAGGTTCTATTATGAGACCCTTTTGGACGGGGTCTGCCATTGGAGGGGGCCCTTGTCCGGAAAGCGATATGTGTCCACGAGTGTGAGAGTGTGACTGGGTCAGTGTGAAGAACGGTGCATCGCCTTCAAGAAGTGATTGTGCTCCTCACATGAGCCGTACGTCACAAGACTGGCAAGACACTTAAAGACGTATTCGCGATTCAGAGCACCTTGTGAAGGGAGAGCCTCTGTGCAGCACGGGGTATATGGGGTATGTGGCCGCATCGGGAGTGCAGTGATATAAGAGTACGCATGTTTGTACCTTATAGCTTCATGGGGAGAGTCTTTCACAAGGCGTGTGCTGTTCAGCCACTCCTTTGCGAGTTTGTTGATGATTGACACACGTGGGGCGTTCGCTTAGTTCAGGTCTTTGGATGCTATACCTTTTTCAGACAGGGCTTGCCACAAGGTGGAAGGGTTCTAGGTTTAAGTCGCTTGCGCCACGATGCTCTTGCAGGCAACATCAGCTGGGCGAAGGGCGCAATCATCTGGGAAGCAAACAGCCGCTTCAGCCAGCACCAGCCGCTATGCATGGAGAATGCAGGCACCTGTTCGAACGAGGACTTGTGACGGAGAATTGTACAAAGAACATACAGCGTGGCTGCTTCTTGCAGAGACCCGGTGTGAAGCATTCTTGGACCATTTCCATGGCTCTTGGAAGATGTTGTTTTGCCAGAACTGCCAGAAACAGCCTGCCTTCATAGCTTTGGGTGTGGTCAAGTGATGCTGGGCATGTTTGCCCTTGTGACCCAAAACGGCATCTGGGAAGGTGTGGAAGGATTGCATGTGGGCGTGGCTCAAAATTGAACAGGAGGGGTTACGCAGGTTTTGGTCCATGTTTCCACTTACCAGGGTTCCAGTTTGGTACCGGTTTTTTGAGCCACAGCCATGTCAACGTTTGAGAAAGTTGTTCTGCCACTGCCGTCAGTTTCGAGCTCGAAGCCACAGAAAAAAAATGGCCGTGTTTGGCGTCTTTGGCTCAAGCGAGCGTCTCGGGCGAGACGCCGGATGATCTTGGGGCCATGTCCAAGGGCCAGGAGTTCTTGAAAGAGGCGAACTGGGCGGTGTGCGGGGACGTGCTCAACCCCGCCAAAGCCGCCTCCGAAGTCGTAGAAGCTCAGCAACGAATCCGCAGACCTTTTGGTTTCGGCCACTGGTTCTATTTGCCCCCAGGCTATGGAAGCTCTCAGGACCTCTTTGGAAGGCTGGGGTCCATGTATAGAGGCCTTCTTGGAGCTTCCATGTTAGTCTCGGGGAGTGTGCTCATTTCCGCCCAAATTGGAAGAGTTGCCTTTTCTGCGTTTTCTCTCAAACTGGCAATCCTTTTTTGTGAAAGGGCTGGTTCCCTTTGAGTCCGCCTTTTCGGACGTCAGTTTTTGGGATCCAAGAATGCAAGTGAGGAAGCGCTCAAATCCAAGAGCAAGACGGTGCATCTGGTGAACCCTCGTGACAGCAGCGGCACCTGCCACGTGGGGATCAAGGACATCGGCCAGCCTGTTGATGTGGTCGATCTGTGTATCAACCCAGTGGCAGGCAGGGTTCAGCAAAACATGTTTACACAAGGCCTGCCACTAAAGGGTATCCCAAAGGCGGTTGCTTAAACAATAGTGGCTTGGACTGACTTGACCCCGGTGCCAGGTTTGACTTTGGTGGATGAAATGGCCGAGCTGGGCATCAAGAAAGTATTTATCCAGCCCGGCGCGGGGTCTGAAGCTGTACTCAAGCGCTGTGAGGAGAAAGGCATTGATGTCTTTCAAGGCTGCGTAATGATTGAAGCCGGCCTTCACTGACCCAGCAACCCACCAACCCACCGACCGACCGACCGACCAACCAACCAACCAACCAACCATGCTCTTCCCTTTCCCATGCCTCTTGAATGAACTTTTGGTCGCATCTTCTGCCCAGAGCAAAGAGGTGCCCCACCTGTACAGTGCGTCACCTGTTCTGCTCGCAAGCAGCAGAAGGGGTCAGCTTAGGTACAGTCGCACTGGCAGAGGAGCAGAAGCGAACTCCTAAACGCTCATAGGTTTCACCGGTCCCGGATTCGGCATGTAGCAGCTCGAACGGCGCTTGGCCTTGCTGCTCTGATGGCTATAGGTGACACAAATTCATTCCCCGCACATGGATTCAACCATAGGGCCCTTTCGGAGACCCGTTCCCGTGCTCCAGCTTGCACTGCCGATCTGCCCATGCCTCATGGGTGCCAATCATTGCGAGTTGGTCGGAACTTGGCGGCTGGCAATTGGAGGTGTATGTTTTCATGTTGAGGTTCATGAGATGAATTGACGAGTTGCAGCGTTGCTAAGTTGGCTGGCTCAATCTTCCTGAGCAGTTTGCGTGCGTCTAACGGAAGCTGAGCACGGTTGGGAGTCCAGCGCAAGACTTGTGTTGGTTTTCCTTATGTGGGTGTGGCTCAAAATTAAACAGGAGGGGCTACGCAGGTTTTGGTCCATGTTTCCACTTAACAGGGTTCCATTTTGGTGCCGGTTTTTTGAGCCACAGCCATGTGCCGCCCACTTCAAAGGCGGGTGTGGGCGTAGCTTGGCCTCAGGCGGCTGCTGCGAAGACTGTTGCGGCCATCGGCGCCATGCGGAAAGGCCGGCTGACGCGAGGGCGTGGATCCATGCGAATTGTAGAGCCCACATGGCTGCGGGGTAGGTGAATTCACCACCCATTTTAGTCTATTTTAGTGGGGATTGTGGATGTTCACTGGGGGTACGGGCTTTTGACCCATGGCCACATGTCAAAATATGCCAACACCTCTCCAAAAGGTGCTGGTTTCTTTGCGTGGGTTTCTTTTTGCCCACAAACGAGTTTGCGGAAAGAGGGCTTTGCGTGGCGATGTGTCAAAACCAAAAACTTGAAGGGAATGGTTGGTTTCGTGTTGGCTTTTGCTGCGATCTTCCCAGGAAGGGTCCCTTGTTCTGGTTTCGAGTCAAAACCAATCTTATATGCCTGTAATGTCCAGCACCTGTCAGCAGTTGGAACATGGCACAAACGGACGTGTAGAGCCTTCTTCGAGCTGGCAGTTGTCTTGCAATTCTGTGTTTATTGGGATGAATGGAGATCGTAGTTCCCATTCCTTGGATGTCAAATGTATGTGCAGGGACCCTGTCAGCTATTAGAACCCACGGCTCTCCTGGGCTGACATGCCAGTTTGCCCTTCACTCAATTGATGGCTTGACCGGCTTTGAGCGGGGCTTCATACCAGGAATTGGTGCATCTTTGGGGAGGGTGTTGATGGCTGTTTCTGCCGGTTGACAAGGCCATGTGAGATACACTTCTTCGTTCAGGTGATGAGTTGCATTACATGTTCTAAGATGGACCCCTCATCTCATATGTTCCTGACTTAAAACGGTAGATGACAACAAGCCCCAAGGATACATGACTGTGTAGAAGTACCACTACTGAAAGATTGTATTCCAAGGGGTATCTTCCAACTTTGGGCTTCCCTTGGAGTTGGCCCCTGCAAAACATGGGTGGCTTAGAGGCAATCGATGAATTTCGTCTCTTTGAAAGCCTTAGTGACAGGGCTGGAAAGATGCGTTGGTTCTTGGCACCGTAGGTGCCGCGCCCAAGAGTCGTGGCCGGCGCCTGCAGAGAGGCGTGGCACGGGCTAGGGAAGCCTCAGGTCTGATCCGAGTCCGGGGTTCCACCAGAAGGAATCATTTCCCCAAGTCCGGCTCTCAGGATTCCGAGGATGACAGTAAAGGCGTTCTACGCCTGGTTTTGCTTTAGCCTGAGTCTTGTGCTTGTTGACTTGATTTTGTTTATGTCCGCTTACTTGAGTTCTCTTGCTGGTTGGCTCCGTCTGTTGCAAGTTCGTGCATTGATTCTGGCTGGCGAGCCAACAGCCTGCAAAGTTTGATCGATTCCACCCCGCTTAAGGATTCCTCGTCGAGGTGTCAGATGTTTTCTATTTTTCCGTTTGCGGGACAGATTTTGGAGTGGTTCTAAGGTTCGCCAAACGCTGGGTGTTCAACTTGCTCCAAATCTAAGATGTTGCTCCAAGTCCAAGATCACAACTTTGTGCCGGGTTCCTGGGAGGATTATTGAGTTCAAGGGGGGGTCAAAGAAGCCTTACCTTTTTCCCGGGATGTGAGGATAAAAACAGCCAACCTTCAGCATACAGAGGCAAACTAGCACTCAGAATATGGAAGTCAGAATTGACACGTCGTTTGAACTTGGTGTTTGGCTACAGTCAGAATGTGGCTGGCGCCTAGTTGATGCCAGAGTTGCCATTTTAAGTATGCGAGTTACCGGATGAATCAGTGGCCAAAGGTGTGAGCACCTACTGCCAATTTCGAAAAAAAGGGACGGCTGTGCCCATTTATTGACATGCCGGCATTGGTTGACTGAGAAATGTATTTGCACCCCATGCGCACTCCCCGGAAAATCAGGAGGGAGCCATGCAGGATATCCCTCTTCGGCTGCATTTGGATCTTGACTCCTAAAACAACATCTGCTGGCCTGTAATCACACTCTGTGGGTTCAGCTTTCCAAGTTGCCGCAAGGCAATGTGCCACCTTGCAACGTCACAGACGACGAGCCTCTCATGCACTTGCTTCAGGCCTGGGTTTGCCAGCCACACATTCCACATACACTTCCACAGTTTTTCAGCACAGAAATTGGTTAAGGACCGTCACAGTGTGGATTCCAAGAAGAGGGCATCAAGCAGCAGCCGCTGTGGTTCTGGTATGCAGCACCGCACCACTGAAGGATGCCACCACACTGGAATGAACAATCATTTCCACGATTCTGCACAATTTACCACGAGAAGGGGGTAAAGCGAGCTTGGCACTATGAATATCTTTGCTTAGAGGCTCCTTGACTCCAGGTAGAGTGCAGCAATTTGCCCACAGAAGTTCAGCTACTAAGCCAGCAGCAAACTAGTGCCACGCCACAGCCAGCAACACTGGAACATCGCTTTTGGGCTGGGGGGGTACTAATCTGCAGTCGGCATACGAGCCAGAGGCAGAATGGAAATTCCACAATCTACTCAAAAGCCAGCGAGCATGCAAAGTCATTGCTCCTTATTCCGAATGCATCCAACACAGATTTGCCTTTCTTGACCATTGGCAACTGCGCAGAATAGCCCTGCGCTGAGGCATGCGTCATTGTGAGTAGGTCGAGGGCCGAACGTCATTTTCCTTCTCCATTTTCGCATTCAAAACCACTTTGCAGGCGCAATCAACGCACGCTGCTTTGCAGGTGCCCCCTTGTCAAATCCCCGTGTTTTCATTTAAGCTTTCATTGAATCCAAATGAGCCACATAGGTGGCTCTGCAAGCACTTGGGTGCGTGTCAAAGCTAAGGATCCCTTCAGATGGTTAGCTTCACGTTGGTTTCATGTTGATTCCAAAGCCCCGCTTCCTGAGAGATCCCTGGTGTTGCCGCAAAGCTGCCTCAAAGGCATAGGAAAATCATGTGACCAGGGGGGCCAGACTTCCATCCTTGTGGGTTTCACAGGCCTTGACTCGAAAGACCGCCTCAGGGTGAGGGGCTGAATAAGTCTTGCCAAGGCAAAATCAAGTCCAAATACAGCCTTTGCGATTGGAGGGGACTTCTTTTTTCGAGGCGGGGTTTTTTGGTAATTAGGCCTTGACGTTATACAGTAATGCATGTGCAGAGTGCTCCTTCACCAAAGGCTCTTTCTAAAAGTCTGGGGCATGCGCAGGAGCGAAGACCTGAAGACAAGGTTGAGACCGAGAAGAGCGAGCAGAGGAGCGATCAGATCAGACACAAGTCGCGTTGTGCGAGAAATGTTCCTCTAGGGGTTGATTCCAACCATTTTGTTCAACCATCGTTGTTTTCACAAACCGGTTGGCTCCCCTGAGCTTTTGAGGGTTTCCTGAAAAGATTCGGATCCCTGGAAACTCACTCAACTGATCCGCCTTTCGGGACTGCCAGCATTGTGACCAAGGCGAAAAGGCTAGCAACACCGAAACAACACACATGGGTGAGGGTCATAGCCAATGGTACCATTTTGGGGTAGGTGCACCGCCCACTTTAGTCTATTTTAGTGGGGATTGGGATGTTCACTGGGGGTACGGGCTTTTGACCCATGGCCACATGGCTGTGGGTCAAAATTGAATCACTCGGGGACCGCAGGTTTTAGTCCATGTTTCCACATACCAGGATTGCATTTTGGGTACCTATGTTTGACCCACTTCTTCGGCCCTCCGGAAACAATAATTAGCGTGTGAGCGGGTGCCGGTAGGTGCTTGGTACAACTTCGCGGTGCTTGGCATTTCCCCTTGCTTCGGTGGTAAACCATTGCCATGGATCAGCAATTGCCCTTCCTAGCCTCTTGAAGTTCCCCTATGGTGCAATACCTTGAAGAAAGTATTGGTATTTCTTTAGATAGTGGACCCCTCCTGGTAGACGGTCTCTTGGTTTCCCTTTGAAAAAATCAAACAACAGGCTCCTTGTTTCAGGAAGCACTTGTACACCAAACGCCCGTGTTCAAAAAGAATTACTCTGTGGCAGCCCGTTGTCAAACTCGAGCCGCAGCATGCCAGGTCTATACCCATTTTTAGATGATGCTGCCATTTTGTTGCATGGGGGGGCCTAGTACTTGGCAAACAACTCTAGCTGTACTTTACCCGTTCATTCCCGGAATCATCCTTTTCGGAGACTTGCCAACAACATTGGGTTCTTGATGATTTCCCAAGCGTTGCAGGGAGGGCCAAGAAACCGGAGGTGCAAGAGCGTTGCTCCATGTGTTTCGTTGCATGGAGGGCGGCTTGAGATGCTCTTACGCGCACATGCGGTGCATCTCCCATGCCCAAAGAAAACACCTGGGCTGCTTATTCTTGCGGGTGCGATATCTAGGGAATGAGGGAATGAACCTGGGGAGTTCCTTAAATGAAAGGAAACCACCAGTTGGATGGTTGACAGGGGTCGTTCCCACATTCCCTGCCAATCGCACCAGCAAGTATTTCCGATTCAAAAGGGAAGCAAAGGGAGTAGACAGCTGAATTTGCGTTGGCACGCTGATCAGAGTTTTCCGCTCACCTCTGATCCATAGCAGATCCCGTTTTTGTTTGCGCAGGAGATGGAAGGATGCCCTTTGCAATGTGTGCAGCACCATGCCCTTTGCATAGCGTGGCTGAACCATGAGCATGTGGCCCTTTGCTTTGTTTGTCAAGTTTGCATGTCTTGTTGGGTGGAATCACTGCCATCTCATCCGTGAGGGGAATCCTTGAGCCCAAACCGCCATCAGCAAGGCTTAGGCTTCTAAATGGGCTCAGTCAGGGGTTGAATGGCAATGTTAACGGTGATTCAGGGATTGATTCGGGGGTAATCCAAGGGGCCTACAAACGTAGCGAACATCTTTTAAGGATCTCCTTGCATGATTCCTCGGCGGTCAAAAGAGCAATGGGATTGCTTTCCCGCCGCCCAAGCGGGAAGGACAGAAAGAAGCAGAAGTGGGGACAGGCCCAGCAAGTGCGCGTTTGCCGCTGGCCCCAAAAGCTAAACCTGGTCGACTGTCAAAGGGTGTTTTTGCTGGCCGTCTAAGATGGGGCACCCGGTCTGGGGGCTCAGAATCTGGGGTCAAAATTAGCAAGTTTGGGAGTCAGTTGTGTTACTACCAGGTACCAACAAGAATCGCCAGTTTGGGACCTGTTCACCTTTGAACTCAGTCTGAAGTCATGCTCCCCCAGGCTTGGGCTTTGGTTTTCTTGGCGAGTTGGATAGATCTTGAGACTTTAACTTTTTGGGCAATGAGGTGTTTGTTCCCCCTGAACAGCAAGCCAAAGGTGGCTGTGGCTTGCTTCCTTGGTACCCGTGTGCCGCGAAAGTCTCAGACTCGGCAGCCATGGAGCACGTCTTAACCCTCCATCCTGGAGCGGTGCATTTTGCATCGCGGCATCCTTTGGTCAATCTTTCTTGCTGTTCACAGACTGCGGGGGCGGATTCGCGGATTTGAGCGTCCTTTTCGTGGGGCGCCGTAGAAGTGCAGCGTTGCAGGTCCCTTCGTTCAGAGTTCCGTGGTCACCGGCTCTGAAACGAATTTGAGGGAGATGCAGTCGATGGGCCATCTTTGTGCCCTAATTTCTGAACACAGAGGTCACTAGGTCCAGGGCAGCATGGCATCAATGGCTGCAGATTGTGGTAAATCAGCGGTTTGGTTTATATATCCACGTACTGATTTGCTGTTGCTTGGGGCCCAGCGAACAAAAAGCGCCGATGCCTTTTGAATTGGGAACCCCACTAGTTTGGGCAACACCTAGTAGCCGTATGCATGTTTCGCAAGCACCCAGTTTGGGGCCAAACTAGTTCGAGTAGGGTAGGCTGGCCTGTTGCTTTCTGTACTTTGCACTGGCAGCAGGTCAGCCTCTTCAAAAAGGTGGCTTTGACGGCTAAGCGTTCTGCGCAGGTCCGACATGGTAGTTGGACCACAGCTCATAAATCAACACGCTGCATCCATACTTGTGTGCCTGTGTGTCATGATATGCCATGAGAAGCACGCCCGCTATGCAGCGCCAGTGGGACACGCAGTTTGAAGCAGATATCAGCACACTTCGGTCACGCGCATCCATTCCCGAGCACGCCATGCTTGTGCCTTTAAGAATGCCCGCTCACACGCGCGTGGCTACCATGGTAAGCCGGCCCGTTTTTTCCCACGTTTGTTACCTTGAGTCTGATTTTTTGTCAGCAACCTGCGCTGGCAGCGTGGCTTGCCAGCTTTGCCCACAGTGCGGGTGAGCTGCAGGTCCCTTTCCCTCTATGATACTGTGGATGGACAGAATCCTGCACCATGAAAACATGGGAAACCACGGCTGGTTGGTGTTTGCAGAGGAGTCATCATTCCGGGAATCCTTTGGTGGTGCAGGATTTCGTCCATCCAAAGTATTACCTTTGCAGCTCCCAAAATGCAGGAACAGGTTGCAGCTCGCAGCAGGGCACGAATGAAGGTTCCGGGCTCCCATGGCCATTGAGTGGTAAACCGGGCTTGCATGATGTGTCTATGATAAGAAACATGGTCATAACACACTTGTTTGGACATATAGGTCTTAGGTAGCGAAAGCTCCAGATGTGCATGACCACCTTACAAGTTTTGGGTCATGGGTTTAGTGTCCTTACATTGCGGCCATGGTTTCTTAGTCGTGGGTTTTGTCGGATACATTCCTCTTGATTTCGGCTCCTTTGCCAGCTGTCCATCCTCCAGCGGCTCTAAGTCGGAGTCTCGGATTCCGCGCGTTGCGAGTAGATGGCTTTCGCATTTTTGTTAGAACATAATTTGTTTGGTCGTTTGCTAAATTGTCTTTCCCCCCTTGTGGTGTCTGTGTGTGTGTGTTTGTGCTGTTCGTTGGGTTGGTTGTTTGCTTGCCTAACCGTTTGTTTGTTTGCGTTCAAGTTTGTTTGTTTGGTTGGTTGTCTTTGTTTGTCGATCATGTTCTGTTTGTGCTGAGGAGAAACCAACCAGCAAGGATAGTCAAACAAACTGAAAAGCCCGAAAAGGCGCGCTCACACACAAGCAAACAAGAACTGACAAAAGAGTCAACCAATCAACCAAACAAACAAGCAAGCAAGCAACAAACAAAACTTGCAACCAATCAAACAAACATTCCAAGCAAAGAGCCAACCAACCAACCAAACAAACAAACAATCAATCTGATTCAGGTGCTTTAATGGAACAGATTTGATCTCATTTGGGCTCCTGCTCTCTCTCGCTCTCACTCTGTTTGTTTCTCTTTCTTTTGTTGTCGCTTCGCCTCGCATTTGCCTTGCTCAGCTGTCTCAAGCTACAGTACGCTGTTGGGCAAACCTGGTCCCTACGCAGCACAGTTTATGAATCGACAAAGCAAGACCGAATCCTTGGAGGCCTCAGGAAGTGTTAGAATTTGGTTTGGCCAATGCTCCAAGTTGGGCACAGGCCGGGAACTCAAGAGTAGCCGATTGGGCTACACTAGGATTCCAATCACAAGCCCTGGCGGTGCGCTTCGATTCGCAGGAGCGGTTTCCAAAACGGACCCTTTGCAGAGAAAGCAAGCTGTGCTCTGCAAACAGTTGGCGTCCGATTTGTGGAAGCACTCTGTGTTGCCTGCCAAGGCGGAGTCAAAGTGAAGACAGCAGTCAAAGCACGGACGACAAGGATGGGCATGCGCTGGAAAGTAGGAAGGTGGAACGTGAATGTTCAAGCAAAGCGATTAGCTTTTTGATGCAGCTGCAGTTTGTCGCAAAATGTTGCCTCACGGGTGATATTGAAAGTCATTGTGAAACGATGTACTAGGCAAGCACTTGCTGACTGCATTGTGGATGTCAAGACATGACGCATGACATTCGGCATCATTGGAGGATACAGGTTCCCAAACCCAGGAGGGGCTAGTAAAGGCAGGCGCACGTTCAAGAAGTGTATGGAGCCGTGAGAGGGCTACTTACGTCCCCCAGTAGTGTGCCCTTTTACCCTTTTTTTTGGGGGGGGGGGGTTCCCCCCTACTAAAATCAATTACAGAAAAAAATAAGGTACCCTTACTCTATCCCCTCTACTGGAGGACCTAGTAGCAGATGAACAGGTTCACGTTTGACTTAGCTAAGACAGAAGTCAAAGGCCCTGTGCTCCGGAGGACGCGGCAGACAAAGAATCTGGCTCGAAGCCCCAGGCTTGATATCGCCATGCCGTTGCGTATTGGTAGGTTTTTGTCTTCCCCCAGATAGCTAAAAGCTATAGGGGTTCTAACTTCTAATAAAGAAGAGAAAGTGATTTGCGAGATTGACAGCTGGGTGCTAGGGGGCGTGCAGTTTGGGGTGCTTGTGTAGGTGCTGTTTGGGGTGCTGTTTGGCACATGGGATGCTGTTTGGGGTGCTGTTTGAGGTGCTGGTGATGGTGCGGGCACATTTTTGCGAGATTGACGGTCGGGTGCTCTGGGAGTGCTAGCTGATTGAGGGTGCTGTTCGGAGTGATGGTGCGGGCGCGCTTCTGCGGTTGATATCAGGGGGGTCTTTGCTGTTTGGGGTGTTGGTTGAGGTGCTCTTGGTGCAGTGCTGTTAGAGGTGCTACCGTGCAATCGTTGGCACGTGTTTCGCTATCTGGGGTCTATGCTGGTGTACTTGTTTTCCCCCAGATAACTCAAAGCTGTAAGGGTTCTAACTTCTACTAACGAGGGGAAAGTGATTTGCGAGATTGACGGCAGGGTGCTAGGGGGCATGCAGTTTGGGGTGCTGGTTTGCGTGGGCGCAGCCTTGCGAGATTGATGGCAGGGTGCCAGGGGGCCTGCGCTTTAGGGTGCTAGGTGTTGGTGACGGTGTGCGGTTTGAGGTACCGGTGACGGTGCGGGCGCATGTTTGCGAGATGGAGACAAGGTACTAGAGTGCATACAATTTACAGTACTGTTAGTTATCTCAAGGTGCCGTGGTGGTTGCTGGCTGTGCTTGTTTGGCGATGCAGTCAGGGTGCTGGTCAGGGTGCCGCTGAAATGTCCCATGCTATCTGGGGTCTATGCCGGTGTAGTCTCTTTTTTTTCTGCGGTGTAGCTGCTTTGCGTGTGGAATTGTGTGTTGGTGTTTGTTGCTTTTAGATGTTGCTGGTGCCGTTGTTTGTGGTTGTGATTGTTGCCTGTTGGTTGTCTTGCGTGCTCGCACGTGTTGTTGATGGTTGGTGCTTGGCCATGCTGTTTGTGTGGTGTTTATGGGTGCGTGCGTGTGTGGGTGCGTGCGTGCGTCCTGCTTTTCTTGATGGTTTTGATGTTTTTGTTTTTGTGTTTTAATCACGCACGGACGTTTGGATCCTGCCCCCTCCTGTGCATGTCCTGTAGTATTTTTCTCACTGCTCTTTAAATGTAGGCACCCATGTGTGTTTGATCAGTTTGTGAGTTAGTTTGGCTCAGTTGAGTGGGGGAGGCTTCTTGGAAGCTTTGAACAGGTTTGCGCATATCTGCCAAGTCGTAATCTATTTCGTTCACCGAACGGCTGGGATGCGAGGAGCCTTTCGCAAGTCGGTTTTGTAACAAGCCGCTGGCTTGTGCGCTTGCGACCTCTCGGGCCCGTAATGTAGGTGTGCCACGGTTGAGTTGCGCCAGACCAAACTGTTGACATGGGCTCCTACTTCGCTCGCACCATGGAGGCAATTCCAGGTCTCAAGCAGACCTGAGCGGGAATCCTTCCTCGTTGCTTTGTTGAGTGGTTGTGAGACTTGCCTTTCGGAAGAATCGAACATGGCAGTCTTATGGATGTCATGCTCATTCTGATGGACATCAGACATCCCTTTTTGTCTAAACACGTGTTGGCCACGATTCAGCGATGAGCCAGTTCCGCCCCCAAAGACTCGGCGCTGAGGCCGGTCTGGAAAGAGGGAACGCCTGAGCCTGAAGTTTCGATGCACACGGCGTCGAGATGGAGACTCGGTTCCCAGCCATCCGGCGCCTTAGCTTTTTAGCCCCGTGTTTAGTGGTTGGATTTCCATTGAACCCACTAGAAGTGAAACTTTGAGCGGGGGGAGCTGAAAACGGACAGCCCAGGGTATACACTAAAAGGGTGGAGAGATGGAGCAATAGAGGGGACAGAGATAGAGAGATAGAGAGACACAGAGATAGAGAGACACAGAGATAGAGAGACAGAGGGATAGAGAGATACGGAGATAGAGACACACAGAGAAAGAGAAATAGAGAGATAGAATGATAGAGAGACAAAAAAATAGAGAGATAGAAAGATGGATGGATGGATGGATGGATGGATGGATGGATGGATGGACGGACGGATGGACGGATGGACGGATGGATGGATGGACGGATGGACGGATGGACGGATGGACGGATGCAGGGATGCAGGGATGCAGGGATGCAGGGATGCATGGATGTATGTATGGGTGGGTGGGTGGGTGGGTGGGTGGGTGAGTGGGTGGGTGGGTGGTGGGTGGATGGATGGATGGATGGATGGATGGATGCAGAGACACATAGCAAAATAGACAGATAGATCGATAGCTACCTGGATAGACTGCTAGATAGGTAGAAAGATAGATACGTAGGGAGGTAGATAGACAGAAAAAGAGAAAGAGGAGAGAGGGAAAGAGAAGAGAAAGCGAAAGAGAAAAGAGAGAGAGAGAGAGAGTATGAGAGAGAGAGAGAGAGAGATAGATAAGAGAAAGATAAGAAGAAAAGCCCAGAAAGAGAAGAGCAAGAGAACGATAAAGAGAGCGAGACACAGCAAGAACAGAAAGAGAGAAGGGAGGAGAAAAAGAAGATAAAGAGAAAGCAGAAAGAGACTGGATAGTTCTTATGTGTTGAAGCTTCCCCCAAGCGGCTTCGCCGGCTCTGCTAGTAGATACAGAGTTATCATATTGGATCTTCGGGTTTTAGGGCAAGAGGCATAGGGGCCAGAGGGAGCGTGGTTGGTCTGCTTTGCAAACCCAGAGAAGCAAGCGTCAAAACTGGCTGCTGATTGAAAACTTGTTCTTAGAAGCGAAATGATGAAAGTTACCTTTCAATCATTCCGTACAAGAGAAATCCTCGCATACAGGCAAGATGTGCCTCAAGCCCTTTTGTGACATCAGCTGCCCCTGTTGGCAGCGGGTCGACGTCAAGCAGATAAGAGAGACGGGTAGAACCCGACCTGTCATTTGTCATCCCCACATCTAAGAGAAAGCAAACTACACAGGGATCCTTGTAGGGAATGCTTGACTCCATCAGTGAGACAATGTATCCCACTTTCAGTTTTTTTTCCTCTCATTGAGTCCGCTTGAGGCCGGAGCCGATCGCGGAAACGCCGACGCAAGGCCGATCCACAGTGGACACCCACGTTTTTTACATTTGCGCCTTGTTTGTACTGGGTGTTTTTCTGCCCCGGCGGGTTTAGCCCTTGGAATCCTCTTCCATGGGGCCCCAAGGCACGTTGCTGCTTGCGGAAAATTACGTCCAAGCCCACAACTGGCGAAGAGGTGAGAATCCACTGGAAATCAAGACCCAAGTTCTGCACGTGTTGATTGAATCGGCAATTTTTACCCTGGCTTAGTGGTCCGATTCGATGAACCCTTCGGGTTGCAGGCAGCCAACACCTCATCTTGGTGATGGGGACTTTGCGTTGCTCTAGCCGCCAAGACCATGTAAAAATTCCCTGTTTTGTTGTTGTTGTCTTTGTCCTGTTATTTTCCGGGCTGCCTCAGTATCATAGTGTCTGCGTTTGTTTGTGGGGCGCCGCAACTCAGTTACTCGTTCTAGTGACTCTTGCCTGTTTCCGAGTAGTGGGAACGTGTTGATTTCAACCAACAAGTTGTAGGCTGCAGGTCCCCTCCAAAAGCAGCCAAGTTCTGGCCAGATTGTCAAGACAGAAGGTCAGTGTTATAGTTGCAAGAGGTTTGTCATCCTGGGTGCCTTTGATATTTTGCTTTTCGGGGAGACCACGAGGGGATGTTATTCAATGTGTTTCTAGATTCTCCCGCATTGTCACACCAGCATTTGATGTCATGTCGGTGCTGCACTCAGCGGTTCACCAACGACGGATCACCTGTGCACGCGAGAGGGAACCCAACGTACTGCCCCCAAAGACCCCCGGGCCCAACAGTTCAAACGGGCAAGCCTTGCTCAGGCAAATTTAGCAGAGCAAGGTCACATAAAGGTCTTAAGTCGGGTGTGTGGCCAAAGGAAATCACAAGGAAATTGATGGGTGCTCATTTTCCAGACAGGTACATTGGTGTCGCATGCGGCGTGTGTGTGTGCCGTTGGCGGGGAGTGCTGTCCACCTGCTGGCCCCGTGTAAATTCACGCACCGATAAGGCCATGGGTCAAAATCCAAATCGTAATTACCCCCAGTGAACATCCCAATCCCCACTAAAATAGGTTCTAAAATGGGTGGTGAATTCACCTACCAACCAAAATGGTACCATTGGTGGTGGTGCACCTACCCCAAAATGGGATCCCAAAACCGTTTTGACAACCACCGCCGAATCAGGCCAAGATGACCCCGGCAAAGCTCTGGTGGCAGCAGCCGCTTTGCTGCACTAACCGCAGTCCTCGCCATCGCGATCTGAGATGAAAAGGGTATGGGTCAAATTTTAACCAGGGACCGCAGGTTTTAAATCCTTGGTTCCATTTACCAGGGCAAGCCATTTTGGGTACCCATTTTTGACCCACATCCAAAAGAAGAGGAGGACTTGCCAAGATGGAGCTCTCGCAACATGGAAGTCATGTGCCAAGCGCAGGGACCTCAGTTGGTTGTTTGAATCGCTTCCTGTCGAACAGTGTGCCTGGCTTTGACATTTGTAGCTCCACTGCTACGCTCGAGCCATCCCGGGAAGTGCAGGGGCTTGCGGTGTGGGTATTGCCAGGCAGCACGTAGGCGCGCAGTCGGAAAACGGCAGGGCAGAAGCTGAGGGCTCTCTTTCGTCATTGGCTCCCTGTTCTTCCAGCGCGAATCTGGTTCTGATCAAAGAAACGGAAGGTGCATGGCTCATTCGCAGGACTGGAGGTGAAGTTTCTAGAGACTTGTCCTTCGACACCCATGCACCTTCCAGATGGCAGGTGAGTCATGGTTCCCCTTCATTCTGGTAGCCCAATAGCAAAGAGGGTTTTGCAGCTTTGCCTCTTTGTGACCTAGTGGTACCTATTGGTCATATTTGTGGGCTGCAGTCTTTGCCATTGTCCAAGTCAGAGTTTCTGTCCTTACTTTGAACTGCACTGCCATTGCAAAGGCAGCTGTTCTTGCAGCAGCAGTGGGCTGCCTACTACGCCAAGAACGGGCCAGGGGCCCCCAGACAGTCGGGACCAACGGACAGCTGATCTGCAGAGCCTGCGGGGCAAGTGGGGCTTGCCTGGCGAAGGCTCCCGCCCGTTGAATGATTCAAAGCATCGAAGAGCGTTACTATCCTGAGACACGCTCATTTCCAGTGTGAGTGGTGGGGTTTGCGTCAGGACCATGTTGGCAGGTTTAGAGAGGCTTTTGGCTGGAAGCGCGAGTCGGCGGACAGCCTGATCCAACAAAACAGCTGGACATAGTGCGTCAACCTCATACCAACAACAAACGATTAACCAGGGTATCAGTTTGTGGGCGGGCCCGTATCGACTTTTTGAAGGTTGACTGATGGCGGTGTTGGGCAGTCCCGCCTGTCAGGCGTCCATGTTGCGTCCATGTTGTGGGGCGCTTTCCTTGTGACGCTCTGGTTCCAAGATGTTGCCCTCACAGCATTGCAGCTTGATTCAGCCTGCTTAGCATCTACCCTAGTGATGCAGATGATGGTAGCTTGTTTCGCAACTTGGTGGAAGTGATGCACTATGGATTCGCTTCATCAGAGGCGCCGCTGTGTGCGACGTATAGACTTGTTCTAGGGGGTGAGCCCCCGTCTTCTCGACGCAATCAGTGTTCTCTCCAAAGGAACAGCGCTCGGATCAAGTACTTGCTTCAGAGGTAATTGAAGCTTGACATGAGCTCTCCACCCCCAGCAAGGTGTTGACCGCCCTTCTCAGGACAGGTTCATCACGCAGGTGTCATCTATGACCATATTATGGATGGTGCTGAAAGGGTAAGAAGAAGGAAGCCGGTGCTAGTTGGAGGCTTGCATGATTTCCCATGTTAGGAACCACCCACATATGTGTAGCCCTCCTTGCCATATGCTCACCTTTTGACCGTGTTGCCTCCTGTCTTTGATCCAAAGTTCCAAAGTTTATCGTGGCCAATAATGGTCAGCTTTCGTTTCCTGGCCCTTTGGGCGTACTTTTTCTCCATAAGATGTTTCTACACTTTGCACTCGACTGGATATTTTTCAAGGGACAACCTCAACCAGCAAAACCGCACAACAACTCGGCGGTTTCTCCAAAGAACATTCGACTTGCGCCGGTAGGCTGCCAAAGCCAAACCTGCAGGAGGTGCGCTGGAGACCTGAAAAGATCACTGGGGCGCATTGTTTTCCCTCGAAGAACAAAAGAGGAAAGAAAGCCAAGACAAGACCGAAAAGTCCCTTCACCTGCAATGTCAACTTCAGATTGATCTAGAGTGCAAACCAAGGTTCCCTTTGCATTGGAAGTCGAGTCATAGGGGGATCCGAAGTTGACATGACTGAGCCTTCTGGCAGACTTGGTGCCCGCCTTCGGGTTCCCAAAAGCTCCATGTGGATTCCACTTTCCTCTCGCCTCCGCTCACCGGGAGTCGCTGCAAAAAAGTTTCAAAAGCGATGCCGAGTCTCAAGACTGGCCATGTTCAAAGCAGACGGCCGTTCCGAATGCGACCGTTCAACTTGTGCATTGCCTACTTTGCTGAAGGGCGAATTTCGAGATAACTCGTATCGCAGACGTCCAGTCGCAGCCGCGAACGAGGTGGATGTATTCTAATTGGCTACTTGAGGGAGTTGCCCACATGTTGTGTTGAGCCGAGTGAAACATTCCCAGGCTAGTCTGACAGCCATAAATCTGACTTTAGCTTTCAGTTGGTTTAGAGGGAGTTTCCATTGAACCCACAACGGGGATCCGAATCGGATAGCCCAGATGACCACGGCCCGTTGCGTTTGACTTCCCAGTGTTGAAGTCCGACCCGCAGAGGTTCCCTTGACCCCGACCTCCCAGCAGAGCAGCGCAGCATCAGGATGACAACGAGCGATTTCAGGCCCTTTTTTCTCCGTACAAAACAAAATATTTGGGTCCTTGTGAGTAATTTGTGAAATCTCAAATTGTGTGAGCGAAAATTACACAAACTTCCAATCTTCGGGAGTCTAAATATGTGCAGAATGGCGCTGATTCCATGTGAACATGGCAAGTAAACCAACAATTCGCCAATGCTGTGCTCTTGATATGCTTCATGATGCTTACAGGTGCACGGCCCCTGTGGGCGTGTGAGTGGGGACCCAACCAGTGAGCTACCGGCTGCGCATTTTCGCTACTTGTTCTTTTTTAGGCTTCAACTTCCAGCGCATGGAAGCAAGCTCAGGGTTCCTCCGGGGACAAAGTCTGGTGCACACTGGTTCACAAGTTCAGCGGCGCAAAACCTGGAAAAGGTCTAGTATGCTTGTTCCGTGACCGACCATTTGTCCTCGTGCTCAAGAGCGCTGGCTGCTCACCAATGGGTTGGACCCATCCAAATATGGGTGTAGTGTCGTGTCCTTTTAGACTGAACCCATACTAGATCCCCCAGTAGTGCCCCTACTAAAATAGACTTCTGGGAAAAAATCGGGTACCCTGATTCCAACCTCCCTACTGGAGGACCGAACCAATACGTTTCCAACTGTGTCAGGCAGGCGCCTCGCAGGAAGTGCCATCCAAAGACGAGGCGGAGAGCCGGCTATCAGGCAAACTTGGTCAGGGCTCCTTAAAAGATACATTTTGCAACCATTTGAAACAGGTTTTTTGTTCCACCAAAATAAAGGGAAACCACCATTTACAATGCAATGTTCAGGTGTATAATGTAAGGATCCCTGTTGGTCCGGCCTTGTTTTTTGGGTGTGTCTTTCTTTGAGTTGGTACCCGTTGTGTCTTTGCTTCAAAGAGAAACCAACAAACATGGCCCATTGGAGGTTCCCCGATTCAGAGACACAGACTGCTTGGGTTGGGTTTCGTTTTCTCCTCTAATCAAGCCCAGACGCGTTCTTGGGATGAGCCAGCAGTGAACCTTAAGGGGTTGACCCTCAACCCAAACACTTGGGTCTCAGGCAACATATGATCTCGAAAACGGAAACAGGAAAAGGTGTTTCCTAAGCTGAAGTTAGAATGATCCCTGAGGATGGCTTAGTTGCGCTTGTGATTTCCGCTTTAAACTTAGGGTGCGGATTTATTTTGGGATTTTTTTTCGTTTTGTTTTGGGAATTTTTTTCGTTTTTCGTCCGGGCCAGCAAAATGTCGTATTTTACAGCATGTTCTCGCGAAATTGACGCATTTTACACTAGCTCGTCAACATCCCCAGCATCGTTTTCAACATCCCCCGCATGTCCGACCAACATCCCTAGCATCACCAACAAATCGTGGGTAACAAAATCCAAAAATGTAGCTGGCGGGTTGACGGGGTCAAAACAATGATGCTTCAAACAGGAGGGCATTTCAATCCCAGCAAAAAAAATACAAAAAAAACATTAAGAAAAACAGAGCGGGGTAGTGATGATTCGAACAGGGGTGCAATTAAATCTCTGCAAAAAGTCTAAAAAGTAGCCGGGGGGTTGGGGGGGCGGCAGCCCCCCACCTGATGCTCGAAGAATTGATGATTCAACTAGGGGTGCAATTAATTAAATCTCTGTCGAAAATCTAAACGTAGCGGGGGGGGTTGGGGGGGGCGGCAGCCCCCCCATGAGGTCGGAAGAAGTGGTGATTCAAGTAGGGGTGCAATGATTCAAGAAAGGGTGTGATAGAATTTACAAGGCAGCGGGAGGGTTGGCGGGGGTGGCTTCCCCTATGATGTTCGAAGAAATGCATACATACAGACATACACGGACTACACAGATTACCTAAAATGTCGTATTTTGCAGCATTTTCTCGCGAAATTGGATGCTCGAAAAAGTGATGATTCAAACAGGGGTGCAATTCAATCTCTGCCGGGCCAGTAAAGTGTCGTATTTTACAGCATGTTCTCGCGAAATATACCCCGCATGTCCCACCAACATCCCTAGCATCACCCACAAATCGTGTGACGGGGTCAAAGAAATGATGATTCAAGTAGGAGGGCATGTCAATCCCAGAAGTGATGATTTGAATAGGGGTGCAATTAAATCTCTGCAAAAAGTCTAAAAAGTAGCGGGGGGGTTGGGGGGGGCGGCAGCCCCCCCCATGATGGTTGAAGAATTGATGATTCAACTAGGGGTGCAACCCCCCCATGATGTTCGAAGAATTGATGATTCAACTAGGGGTGCAACTAATTAAATCTCTGCAGAAAATCTAAAACGTAGCGGGGGGGTTGGGGGGGGCGGCAGCCCCCCCCATGATGTCGGAAAAACGCCACCTGCCGAAGAGGAACTGGGAATGCAGAGGATGCGAAAAGCCAAAAAGCCAC